CCCCCCCCCCCCCCCCCCCCCGACGGCTCAGTGGAACTGGGAGGCAACTCTCCAATCGGCTGGTCAGTTCAGCAGTGATATTTTATCTCAATTTCACAGTGTGGCAGGAAAAGGAGGATGAGGAGAGGGAAGGGGTGTGACGGGGAGGTAAGCCAGAGGGAGGGTTATCGGAGAAATCAGAGGAACCACAGCAACAATTAGAAAACAACTAGAAACCTCCACCGTCCATGAAGAAAAGTAAACAAAATGGCCGCTTCACTCCTTTCTTCTGAGTTTCATTCCCGCAGACCCCTGTGGTTGGTGAAGGCCTTGATTGGCTGGCGTAAGCTGATTGGATGGCCTGTGTTTGTGGCAGAGGGTAGGGAGGGATGGGTGAGGGAAGTCTAAGGCTGACTGGACTCCGCTGGTGGATGGGACTCAACAGGGCGATATGTCGTCAGGAGCAAAAAGGATGGGCATGGCGGATCAATGCATGATTGGCAGGTCAGAGGGCGAATCCCTTCTCGGTGGGTTCAGGCACGCTGTTGCAGTGCCCGCCTCTTGCGGCTGTAATAGTGACGCGTGCCGGTCTGTCTGGCAAAGTTCATCATGTAGTTTTGCTTACGGGTGCTGTGGGGAGACAAACACAGTGAAAGAGGGGGGGGGGGAAGAGGAGGAGTGTGAACATTAGTGACCAAGTAAAGGGCACTACAAATCCACGCATCCCCATGCACACGCTCTCGTCCATGCACGCAAACACACAAATGGTTGAATGCAGCTTTCGTACTCATTCGCATCCGTTTTCATGCTGGCTTTTTTTAAAAATCGTTTTCAGCCATAACCTCAAACACTCAACACCTGTATGGGTCTGATGGCTCGGAAAATGGGTGCCGCTACTCTACACAACTGGATTTTGTTTACGTTCTGCACAAATGAAATGCAGCTAGATGGCGAACATGGCAGTAGAACTACACGTACCTAAGACCAAATGTCACAGGACAAGACATGGGACACAGAATCTACGAACATACTACCACAGATGCTAGAGGGGGGGGGGGGGGGGAAGAGACTCTGACACTGAGTGTTTGAGGTCAGAGTTAACAGCCGTCACTGGGAGAAAAGAAAAATAAGTAAACCAAAACCATTCAAGTGCAGGGTTGTGAGCAGAGAAGGGGGGGGGGGGGGGGTTTGAAACTAAGAGACACAGAGAAAAGCTGCGGAAGATCGCTCTTGCTTAGCCTGTTCATTGCCTCTTCCATCCAGCAGGGCGTTGCCAGTGAGCCAGGAGTGCAGCCAGGGCAGGCAGGGGCCTCTGCGAAGCGGGGGGTGACCAGGAGGGGAGGGGATGGTGTGTGTGTGTGTGTGTGTGTGTGTGTGTGATGGTTGATGCTGTGGAGGTGGAAGTGTGTGTGAAGGCGGATGGGAGGGATGGCTGTTAAACTGCATGAGTTTGAGAGTTTGTGTGTTTACACACTTGTTTTTCAGATGTTTGGTCAGAAATCAGAGGGTAGTGAGGAGGGAGCTCCTGGCTCAGAGTCATGTTGTTGTTGCTGTCCACAGACAGACAGACAGACAGACAGACATGAGTGAAAGAGGGATGGAGAGCTGTGGCAACAGTCGATGCGTAAAGCCGTGCAAGGAGCCGGATGGAGGAGGTAAGTCAGATGAAACTCTCCCGCCAAATGGGCCGACATTTGAAAGCAATGATGTGAGATGGCCTGCATTACAACTGATGCTGGTAAATAAATGAAAAGACTTTTGGTGCTTGGGCTTGAGTAGGATAAATGCTGGACCCCAAAAAAAAACATTTTATTAAAGTAGGATAATTTTTTTAACTGTGTGTGTAAATTAGCAGCTATAGGTCAAAAACGCCAACGGTTTGAAACAAAACAAACAGATACAGGTATAGTGATGGATTACATCACACATATACACATAAAACACCATACCATTGACATTTGTAGATGTAAATTATTACATTCAAAATGTCTTGAAGATTATGTAAACTGCACATTCAAAATCAACGGCATTCATCAGGAATTTGTTTTCATCTGGTGACATAGTGTTGAACCCTTTTAGAGGATGCAAGGCCATTTCAAAATGCCTCTATTCATGTGTTTTGGGCCCCTCTTAACACTGGAGTGCGGTACTTTTACATAATGATCGTCCGTCATATTCAAGTCCTTGCCTTATGAATGCTTATTAAGCCGGGGAAAACGCTCTGTATTGCGAAGTAAACTGGAGTTGTGGTGTCTGGCAAATGAGGCGACTTTACCGCGCTGGTGCACTGGAAGTGATATTAAGTAAGGGTTGAGAAACTGTCCTCTATATCTGAATGCACAAACAAGCTGTTCAAATGTATAACCAATGTACAAGTACATATATTTATCTTTGTTACAACCTGTAGTCCCTCTGGTGTGTTTTAAATTGTAGACCCAGGTTATATACACAAGGTGTTGTTGTTGTATAATATGGCGGAAAGTCCTTAGAAAGGTTTTTTGATAAAAAATAAACTCTGCATTCAGAGGAAGGATTTAAGTCAAAAAAAGCGATCGACGCAATCGAAGATACAGTAATTGTGTTCTTACTCTCACTGCCAGAGGGGGAAGACAACATGTCCGCGCTCCTCCTTTTAGATCTATATGTTGGATATTTTTGTCAGCGAGCCTCCACCTGAAAACTGTGAGCAGCTGGCTTGCTTGTTGACCTGCCTAGGGCTTGAGTTCAGGCGAGGATGACTGTGGTGATGATGAGGAGGACCAGGCGTGTCAGTGAAAGTGAGGGTGGGTGTGCACAGTGTAACAGGGAGAAGAAAGGGGTTGGAAGGAGGGTGAGGGATGGGGCTGCATTCAGGAAGAGGCGGATAACTTACCTCACACTACAGCCATGCCAGAGGGAGCAGAATACAGAAGAGAGCAGAGGTTAGAGCGCGAGAGGGGAGAAGCAGGAGGAGGGGACTGCTGTCGCGCAGAAAGGTCTGGGGGGGTAGGAGCCCCGGCCTGGGGAGGCAGGGGCCCAAAGCGG